ACGCTCGCGCAATTGAATTTGATTATATAAATTTACTAGCTATGTTATAACACGCGTTAGCTACCACATAGAACCCTGCAAATTATTTTAAAACTGTAACCACATTCTTATGCAACTCTTTGGCTACAAGAATGACTCCTGGGAAATTAAGAGATGTGACCAGCCTATCGAATCATTTGAAAAGCGCCATTACATCGCCGACCACCATTCATATGGAATCTTTCTTTCAGATAGTTGTGCAGCCTAGGCTGATGGCTGGGGGCCTTCAAAAGCCATTACTATCCAAAAATTTTGATGGGGAGGAACTTTTTTCAAAGATATCTTACAGCCCGCTATCTGTATGCTCGAACCGATTGTACATTTCAAAGCTAAGCTTACCACCAGTTGCTTGAATTGCCCCGTAATGACGTAGTCAAGACTAGTTTCTACGAAGGAATCCAAATACCTAAGTGTGTCCAAGTGCCCTTCAACATCGACCGAAAGTAAACTACGACTTATACTCGCTGATCAGATTTTAGAGCAAGCTTCTAGTATCAAACTTTTAGGAAGTTTAATTGATATTCCCTTATCCTGGCGTGATCATATCGATTACGTCACAGGCGGCCCAAGCTCACGTTTCGAGAAAAAGTCAACGATTAATTCATGAACGCGTCACGCGTTGTGTGACTCGGTTGACAATTTGAACAAGTTATAATATATAAGGAATAATATGGGGAACGAAATATGGTCGATTTACAACGATAAATATTTCGAAATATCAATATTTTACAAGTAAAATCAATAAAACTTGCTTACATCTCGTCTGTCCGTTGTAGTTTCTGGCGATTTCTGCCGTTTTAGCTTGCTTTACCATCACTGTTATTTTTGTTATTTGGAACCACCTCCTTTTCTCTATTCGCAAGATTTCATCCAAAATCCTATATCCTAGGGCTGTATACAAATATTGCTTTGTTCAGTACCATCCTGACTTGATCCCAGTAATAGTGAGTGTACATGGGTGTTTTTTACCTGTGTGTCAATGTACTTTCTCCTGAAATGTCTTAGGGGAAAGGTGTTTGCCTGCGCCTTTCTGTTTCGTTTTGAAAAATCTATAAACATGATTCAAAGCCACATGAAAATTATCAAAAATATATTTTGTGGCGTACCATAGAGGCTCTCAGAGGGATGGTGGCTTTTACGGCCAACGGGTAAAAATTTGGCAAGTTCCGTTAACAGAAAAAATATTGCGATAAACTTTTTTTCACGACTAACGGTTAAGATTTGCCAATTATTATCCCTTACCGCTATGTTCTTTCACTGTTGACCACATAGAGTTAAGGTTAACCAAGGTCCATTAAGACCCTTATTATACAAGAAGTTATCTATTAATTGTCGCCTAGCAATAGAAAACATCGGCATGCGTAGCATCCAAGAGTTACCTTTTTTGGCTGGGTTAAGATGGGACACTTTGTGAACCTCATGTTTCCATTTTTGTAGCAGGAAAAGAGCATAACTTTTATAAGAACGAAATTATCGCATTACTCCATCTTAGGAGAAAGAAAAAAAAAACCTAATTATCTGAACTCACAAAGGTATTTCAGGGTCTATTGTCTCTATTGTCTAAATACTTATTAGTAAAAATAAAATCCATTTCCCGTTGGAGAGAGAGTGCATTGCGTGACGGGACGAAATATCGGTTGCGAAAACCACTACGCCAACTACCATTCCACTAACAGAGAAAAAATCAAAATTATTCGTCTACAATTAGCTGGCAAAATGAAATTTGATTGGTGAAATACATTTCAAGCACGTGAAAATTGTCTAATGTTCAAGCAGTGCGATGATTGGGTATGTTCTGATTGAACTTCATGGTACGAGTGGAATGTAAGTTGTTTGGCGTGTGCGGTGTGAGTAAGGGAGTGGAAAAACAGGTTTTAACTTTCATATCCCGATAAATCTTGACCTTAATTGACGAGACTACTCTCGCAAAGGCCACAAACCGTTACGCTCATCAGAAGAGCCCAAAATTCTTTGTGCACAGCCCCTGATTTCATGACATCATTTGAAAGAAAGCAATACCCATACGCTGTGATTGGTGCAGGATATCCAAATGCTGTGATATGATTGGTGCGAGATGCGTACCCTGATGCGGCAATCTGATTGGTGCGACCAAAGTACCAGCCTACAAGCTCACATAATTTCTTCTTTTTTTTTTTTTTTACATAAATAAAAAATAACTCAAAAAAAGCTAACTGCTATTGAAAACATACTTTGATTGGTACGACCTTGTACTCTCTGGTAAATTTAAGGTTGAAAATTGAGAGAGATGTTCATGATCAGGAATCCATCAATCAATAACTTTGTATTTTTCATCGCGAAAAAGAAACTGAAATTGATGGTAATTAAGAAAAAAAAATCGATGCGATGAAAGAAAGGCGTTCCCGAATCTAACAGCTTTTAACCTTATTTGCCATTGTTTATTCCGTTATTGCTTAGAAACTGGAATAAAACAAGACACAGAGCGAAAAGTTCACAGGCAAACCAAACTCAATATACGAGAAACAGTCCGATCTTCAAGTTATTACATAACAGTAAGAACATCAGCCAGATTGCATTTAAACATCCCTTGACTCGCTCCAATATTGAGTTTTATTGTCTTCGGTGTGGTTTTTGGGTTGATTTCAAGCAATAGAAGGAGACTTAAGTTCGTCTGCTTTTACGTCTTCATACTTTTTACTCATTCAAATTTCTTAATTTCAACTGTTAGGTAAGAACAAACATTACAGCACAGTACGCTAGTGCGTATTCAGAGCATGGGCTACCTGTGGTGCGTCACAGTTTGTTTAGGAGACCGACATGAAATCGTCAAACGGGCCGACAACGTTGTTTGTCATCTAATATTTTTGTCGCATTTTTGTTTAGAAACGAAAATAACGGCAATTAGGCAAATCTTTTCCTGTTTGTAATGGCACTGTGCAATGCGATGCGCCCCTTAAAGTAGAGAAAAAAATCGAAATAAAAGGCAAATGTACTTTAGTCGACACCTTTTTTCAAATAGTTGATGTTCTCTAATCCTTGCTTCAGCTCATTTTTTACTTCAGTGGTCCTTATTTTTTAATTACTATTTCAGTATTTCGCCAAATGACTGAATTGAATGATAATAACAGGAGACAAAGAAAAGAAAAATATTTTTTTCCTATAACTGTCTGAAGCTGACGCCGACATCGTTAATTAGGCGGTTAAGCGAGTGTCCCACCACATCGTCATATGGTTATTATGTAACTATTCCATGCTCAGTTTGTCACAAATATGAAAGGCCGTCAAGAACTTCCTTCCATGCTTGAGTTATGCCAAACTTTCATGAAGAGTAGAGAGGCCATGTGGGGTTTGACTGATCGTTCAGAATCATGCTACGACCTAAAGCAGACGAATTCCCCAACACAGGTTGACAATAAGGCTATGCTGCGTTTCTCGCGATATCATTGTCGTAATAATATTCTAGGAACGGCGCAAATTTCCTTTCCATGCAAGGATCAAATGCTTAACAGACCAACGTCTCCTGAAATGACTTCAAAACCTAAAGAAGAAAAAAGAATTTATAGAAACGTGGACACCCAAGAAAGGCTAAGGAACACGGAGGTTTCCTTCTCACACTATCAAGCGCGAGTCTATCTACATATGAAGCAGGCAGATACCTCGGAGCGTTATTCAAATCGCCAGTTAAGTCAAGTACCCAGCACAAGTTACTCATCCAGGGACCAGTTTGATACGGGTGAGCTTAGGCAAGGCAGACGTCGAGTTGGAAAAGAGTATGTTTACGTGGAACAGAAAAAACCACAACATCAAGAAATGATCCCAACACCGACAAAAGCGAGGGGGTCCCCCAGACAAACAAAGCTGACACCAATGCAAGAGGGTGCCAGAGAGGCAGCGGTAAGCCTTCCCTGGCAGTTAAAAACGCTGAACGAAGATCAGTGTCCAGTTGTGCGGCCGGTAATGGTACGTCGACATGGGAAACAAGAGGCACGTGTAGAGAGAAACTCGCATCCCAAACGAAGGTATGGCATCAGCGAAGGAACTGATGCGGCTCGAAAAGATAGGACATTTGCTCGAGTTTTGAGAAAACGTTTTTGATTGTTATCAGTTCAAACAAAACCGTCGAGGAGTAAGGAATCGAGGCTGATCGTTAAGTTTCATATTGTCACTAAACAGCAGGCTCTTCAAACTGATCTACTGATTGGCTTGTATCAGTAACTCAGTAAATCATACTTATATCGACGCACGACTTCCAGAAGTTCCAATACTTTTTCGACTTTCTTCAGGGTCGGCCAGGGTTTTTGGGTATTCGGTATTCAGGGGCGTTTTAAATCGGGTATACGGTATACTGCAGCTTAAATATGGGTATTCAGTATATCACTTTCTTTGAATTTCAGGTATAAAGTATTCAAAGCTTCGATTATTTTTGGGTATATTTGGAGGAATTTGGGGTATTTTGGGGTATTTTGTCGATTTTTTTTCGGGTATATTGGTATTCCACTACCCCCCCTGGCCGACCCTGTTTCTTCACCCCCATGTTATTTGTGCAAACTTGTTCGAAATCTTTTCCCGAAGTGACACTTTGATTTTTATGCGCGGAAAGAAATCGCCTTTAAATCATTTAAGTGTGCGTGACCCATAGCTGACCTATCTTTGGGGCATCGTCTACTTTGCATGTAAAATCTCTTGAAGATTTTCTAATATAAATATTTGTAAATAAGTTACAGTTCACATGGGTGTCTACTCTCAAATAATTTTTTTTTAAAACTGTGTATTAAAGGTTTCTCAATTCACTGTCGAAAGTTCATCTGGGTTGCTTTAGTATTGATTTTCCCCGTTCTGTGATTGGGCGCTTGACTATCTCGACCAATCAGATAAAAAGTGTGCCTATTCTTTCTTTTGGTTCCTTGCGATAAGGTTCATGACACAGCCTGAAACTGAGCACATCACAAGTCCTCTTTCCCTGACTATTTCTGGGCAATCAGTACAATCAAAATTACTGTTTTACTAGAAATCGAACGCATTTTTCTAATAAATGATTATTACAAGTTATAAAGGGAAAGAAATACAATTGGATGCAAAAATTGTACTGAGAAATAAAAAGACAAGTCAACGATTAACTCTCCTTAGTCACAGCGAAAACATTTCTGTCACGGGACATCACGTGATGCTTGCAAAAGCGATTGATCTGGAAAAGGTCATGGACCGAGAAAACTGGAGTTGTAGACTCTCCTTATGCCACCATCCCCCCACTCTGAATTCTTCGTACGCGTATTTTATCTAGTAGTAACCAAAACATCCAAATTATTCGAGCCTGGCCCTCTCAATGTAACACAGCATAAAGGTGAGCCGCGTGAAAAAGAGCGGGCGTCGCGTGACAAACGAAGTGACATATAACGAAACATTGCTTTACGTCATCTACAAGTATAAAGTTTTCTCACCGAAGTTATAACGTTTCAAGGGTAACAAAGTGATTTGTATACCAAAATATCATTTTGAAAGTACTAAAGTTACCGTATTCTGATCATTCTCTTGAAAACGCAAGACCCAGCGAGGAAGTCATCATAAAATAAAAATTAAAACAAGCAGAGCCGAGGAAAAGAATTAGCATGCATCGTGATGTCTTCCTTGCACAGATCATCGCCTGCTCAGCTTTGCGATTAAAGGCTTGGAATTTTACTTTTCCTTCCGATACATGAACGAACCCAATTCCAGCCTGGTAATTCTGTAGAGCCATTCCTTGCAATTCTGTGACTGTCACTTCGTACAGCGCGTTTAACTTCTGTTGCCCGTCGAGAACAGGCTGTGTCAAGACAATCCGAAGCGATTTTCTGTTGACAATCTCGTGCTGGCAGAAGATTCCAATGAAAATTGCGCAAACAAAGAAACAGTAAAATGGTGCACCTTTGTAATAACCTCCTTTGTCGGCCAAGGCACCAAGCCAAGACGCCCAAAACATCGCCCACGTTAACCACAGAAAGCATACGCAGTCGATGTAAGTCGGTAGCTGTCGTCGAAAGTACGGTCGGCTCTGCGTAATGAAGTGATTTGAATAAGCATACATTGTATTTCGAACTCGGACAGCCCGACCAACATCTTCTACTGCTATTCGAGTGTGTTGAATTCCCCTTGCTTCAGTAATTAAGCGATCGTTTTCCGACATCTCGAACAATCTAATGGAGAAAAATACGATCCGTCAGTGTCACCCACAATGTGATGATTATATTTTATGATCAGAAACTGGAACACTAGTTCAAATACATTTCACCATAAATATCGGTCACCCCTACCTAAAGATCGGAACCTCGAGTAAAGAGGAATTAGAATACCCAATATTTCGCGGCTCCTGAAAGTTGGTAGTTTTCGCGGAAAGGAAGTACTTTTTTTAATCTAATATTTAGTTCTCAGGGCTCTCTCGGCTTGTCACGCAAGCATTATTCACGTAGGAGATTACGGTGAAGTGAACGCCCGAATAACAGTTTTCTGATCCTTTTCGACAAGTGTACCAGTGTGATCGTCAAAGCGACTTGTTTTTTAGCTGGTGATCATTGCCAATCACATAATCAATAAAGGAGAATCCAGTTGACATGATTTCCATTTACGAAGATTTCAATTTCGCTAATTTACGAGCTGGTAGAGGCATTTTTTACAATTTTTCCGGAATGCTCTTACCAAAAATGGTTGCATTTGGTCACCTTCCCGTCGTGCCTTTATGAAATATAGTTCAGGCAGGCAACGCCGAGAAACGAAAACGTCAGTAAAAAAAAAGGAATTTTTCGTAGAAATTTAGCGAATGGGTTGATGTGATAACCGTCTCCAACGGAACCAGACCATAACTTCAGCATAAGATATATGCAGACAGCGTTTGGTTCCAGATAAAATGGAAATAATTCGCCATCGATCAGGGTTCTCGATCTCGAACCACGCTAATTTTGGTGATTTTAGGATTTTAGTTTGCAGAGGACGACTAAGAATGCACAATCAAACCTGCATTGAGCGGTCACCCATGGAGAATGACCGCTTACTACAGGTTGACGCTAAATACAGGTTCCACAGAATAGGGGTATTGCAAATAACGGTAAAAAAACACTGATTTATGCCAAAATATACCACTCAACGTACAAAAGCACGCTCAAAAATACTGCTAGCGTAGATTTCGGGAGATAAACATGGATTAAATATACTTCGGAAAGCTTGTTTTTAGTTTTATTTGAGTGGTTCCGCCAGAACTGACCGTTCAATAGAGGTCCAAGACAATACAAACAGACCGTGGGGACTCAGCAGAGAATAAGCACGACCGCTCAATAGAGGTGACTGATGAACATTACGTTGTTTAAGGGGAGATAATTTCGCCAAGAGCCCGCATAAATTACAGAGTGACTGCTTAATACGGTGTCGCTCAAAACAGGTTCGACTGTCCGTAATTTTTCCGTGTATTTATTTGCTACACTACAATGAAAATTAACGAGGAAGTATAATAAGCTAAATTAAACACGAAAATCTACAAGGCGAGGAAACCTGAATGAAACCACGAGGCTTGTAAAATTTACAATTTTTTTAAAACACACGCGATGAACAGTTAATTTACTTTTCAAATCCTTTGAAAATTGATAAAGGTAGGTAAGCCAACGTATTCGTCCTTTTCCATTAAACTAAAAAAGATTAGAAATACTGCATCAGGTTAACGTATTTAAACTACCATCCATTAAAACTGAAATGGATTTAAAATAAAGCATATTTATTGGAACAGTATTGGACGTGGTTGTCGCAGTAAAATTTACCTGATCCCAACAAAGAAAAATCATCCTCCTCATTGGTAGTTAATTCGCTGTAAACTTTCTAGAATCTTCCCTTTATACTCTGTTGGTAACGACTGATCCCCTCTGAGAATGTTCAGCCCCCTTCCCCCCTTCGATGATAGATGACGACTGGTTTCTTAATATAAGTCTTTGCAGCCTGGCCTCTTACATTAATGCTGTAAGATAAATAATGGTATATCCAGGATCGATAAATTGTCAGATGAATTTTGGAACACCTACGTAATTTTTGTCTCACTTGTTTGCTTATATTGCTAGAAAGTTTACCTTGAAAAATTGTGGTAGTGTAACTATCTTACTACATTTAATCAACGGATCTAATCTTTCCTACGTGAATTCCACATTAAAAACTAGCAAAATGACCCCAGTCGGATAGTCCATTAGTGCCACGCTCACTCTTATTAATTCTCAAATACCAACAGATTTATCACCATCTATAAAACTGTGTATTTCAGTCAGCGTACTATTTGCCTCCGATCCAGAACTGAGTCGTATCACCCGAGTTTGAGGTGCAACGGAATTTGGGATTTGTAGAACTGTACATTCCAAAGTTGTCCTCGTCATTTATGGCCGACTTGCTTGCGTCGAAATCGCAGGACCGATGGGTAAAATAAGAGTCGACATGCAGAGAGTAAATGCCTTTTTTATACGCTGTGAATGCAGTGCAATTCACACACTCATTTCCCCGGATGTTGACATATTCGTAAGGTCGACAGGTGTCTACCACCGTGGGTACGTCTTTAATGATGTCAAAGTCTTCAAGCGAGGCTCTCAGGTAATCTGTGTATACGGTACCATCTGTGTTGTATCGGCAAGTAGCTCTCCAGTGAGTCGAGTGATCTTTGAGCCAAAGGAGGTAGGGTCGTTTGATGAGGTAAGCCTGCCAGTTTGGGGCATCACCGCTGATGGCTTGGTAGTCATCGTAAAACACGATGTTCTCCTGCAGAGGAAGCAGAATTGATGAGGAAGTTATGATCATCGTCAAAACTGTCGCTTATGAAACAAAACTTATGGAAGCAACATGATATTGAATGTATTTCACATCTTTCCGCTGAATGCGCTTTCGTCCTACGCTCATTTATTAGATATTTATAGAAGATTAAGGAGAAAGTAAATACCTGAAAACGATCTTTGTTGGATAAACTAAAGGACTCAATCAGGTTCCAAGCGAACCCAGGCTCTGAGTCAAAATCACAGAACACCTGGAAGGTTTGATTATTGTCATCGTCAACTGTGTACGATCGTTGTCAAAACTGTCGCTTATGAAACAAAACTCATGGAAGCAACATGAGACTGAATGTATTTCACATTTTTCCGCTGAATGCGCTTTCGTCCTACGCTCATGTATTAGATATTTGTAGAGGATTTAAAGAGAAAGCAAATACCTGAAAACGATCTTTGTTGGATAAGCTAAACGACTCAATCAGGTTCCAAGCGAACCCAGGCTTTGAATCCAAATCACAGAACACCTGGAAGGTTTGATTATTGTCATTGTTAACTGTATACAATCCAGAGGCGGTGGACCCGGCTGCTTTGAAATCTTGACAGCTTCTTTTCTGCTGAATCTCGCATCGTTTTCCAAAAAACGGTACAGGACAGGAACAATTGTACCGAACACTTGTGGGTTGACAGATCTCAGTACAGGTTCCTCTATTAAGACACGGATTGTTCTTACAGCAGCCATTGGTACACGTGAAGTCATCAGCACAAGGAACAATGTTGGTAGGAACCTAAAAATGTATATGGAAAAAATAACTACGCGTTTCTGATTGGCTGAAAACGAGGGCATTCTCTTGTAACACGAGTGCAAAGTTAAAAAATGATCCACGCAGGTGAGAAGCTAAAGTATCTGCCAGGATTAATTCTGTAATTGAATTTTTCTTTCGTCCCTGAAATTCTATAATTTTTTTTTTAAGTTTTTAACTTCGATTCCATTAAAAGAGGAAATCTTTCTACCTTCAATACCCGAATAAAAAAGGAACTTGAAGTGCAAACTTCAAAATCCGTCTGATGATCGCGTAAGCGTGAAACTCAGAGTCACAGAAAAGTTGTCTCATTGATGTGTCCAACTTTCAGATATGTATATATATAAATACACACACACACACACACACGTACGCACCTTTGGCAACTTGTGAGGACTGTGTTTACACACACCGCTTGCGGGGACCCCCCCTTCTGCTGGCAGTATCAAAATAAAAACTACGGTGTTTGATAGCTTGTTTGCCTTACTCTGTATACAGTTGATTAGAATTGAGGAAATTTCAATTTTTCTTGTGGGGACTTCCTTATGGGGACCTTTCCATTACTCAACGTTGCCTACTTGTGGGTACTACTTTTAATATAAGACTTGTGAGGACATACTTACCTAACTTGTGGGGTCTCTGTTTCCACACCCCTCTTATGAGGACCACCTCTCCTTTTGCTGGAGAAGGCGAAGAAGTTTTGCTGAAGGCCTGGTACTTTCCTGCAGCGGAAGAAAACCCTCGTGATTAAATACTAATAATGAAGGCCCGTTAGCGTAATCGCCTTTGCAGTCGTTGTTTGGTCTTGCAATGGGAGAGAGACTGCACTGCGTGGTGAGACTAAACAACGGCTGCGACGGAGACTACCGCAAGTGTGACACCAATGCAGTTTAGTGTTGCTTAAAACTATTCAGACACCAGTGATAATAGACCAGAAAAACACCTGTGTCTAAATTCATTTCAGATAAATTGGATGGGTCTTTTTTGCTCTCCATCGAAAGAAATTTTTGTCGGAATCTTTTGAAGTTAATACTTTTTCTCTTTTTACAAAAATGAAAACGTCAGTCACTTAGTGTCCCACCTGAACTTATCCATCCAAAGAAATAACTTTTGCATGCATAGCATGCCTACAATAAAGGATGACTGCGACTTAAGGAAGCCCAACTGAAAAAATCTCAAAAGTGACCCTTCAATTTGGGATAAAATACCCTTTGGAGGAAAGAACTAATCTTTATCTTTCAAATTCGAAACTCAAACCTGCGGGTATCTTTCTGTGAAGAAGGCAAGAGACAGGTGATATAACTCGAATCCTGTAATGTTTACAACAAAAGATTCTTTTTAAAAAACGTTTAAAAACGTTCTTTTTTATGCAATTTGAGTCTGAAAACTCTCTTAAGATGTTCTGAAAGTTTTATTATTACGGACTAAATTCGACCACAATCTGAGTTGTTCTTCAGTTTATCGCACAACAATAAAAACCGCATTCTTAAGTATTTGAGTTTATTGTCCTGTTTGACCACAGTTTAACATTTCTTTTGCCTTTATTTATTCTTCTCATAAAAAAAAGATAAAAAAGATGAGCAAAATGAAAAAGTTCTCAACTGACTCTCAGCCTGGGTATGTTCTAAGAATGTTTTAAAAATTTGGGCTAATCTCAGCCTAAACGTTCCTATTAAAAAAGGTTCTTATAAAAGAAAAAAAAGGATCTAGTACTTGGAACTTAATTAATATTGGCTTCCATCCTACACGTAGCATATATATAGGCCAGACTGGTAAGCTCTCCTCATAATCTTGGAACATCAGGTGGCTTTTCACAAAAAAAGAAGGCAAGAGAAGTTTGAAGTTAATGGAACTGTAACACTTTAATATAATTTTAAGCAGCGATGTCTATTTAACTGTCACAGGAGAGTTATCAACCAAAGCCACTCACTAGTGAGTAGAGCAGATATTCTGCATCCCATGTTGCAGACATCTTTTTAGTGAGATTGGCCATAAAATTGTATAGTAATGGGCTACTAAAATTTAACGTAAGACGTAGTTTGGTTGCACAACCCTCTGATGTTGGTTTCACAATGCTTGATCAATAACAGTTCAATTTAACCACTTTAGTTATAAACTTTTTTTGTTAAAATCATTATGCAAAACTCTCCCATTGGTTTTGCTTATACTCCAGAAATGAAGCACTCTTAGTTAGTGTATACTAAAATCAACCTCTGGAATTATCGATGATCAAGTGTAAGAGACTTAAAAACCGTAAAAATTCTGGATATAACCCTGAGCTCATAATTTCATAGGAGCTTTTTGTTGGAAAGAAGATATTGACCAATTAAAAACTAGTTAAGCCTACAAATGGATGGCAAATTGCTTCTAATATTTTGCAAAATACATATAACAATACTGTATTGTATATATTTATAACTTAACAAGGCCGGATCAGTGGTTACAAGCTACAATGCAATACTGGCTGAAACTACACCCTTTAACCAAACAGTAATGATATGGATAAAAAAAAATTCTGTTTAGTCATATTAAGAATATTGGCGGGTATGTAAGGTCTACAGAGCTTACTATCAGGATGTATAAATTTGAGAATTTGGTAGCTTATATTGAGGTTGGGTACTTTAATGTAGGCTTACATCCAAATGTTCAGGGTGTATTTTTTATAACAGAGCCTTAGATCCTGGCGGATTATACAATTCACTAAAACTGTAAGCGAAGGAGTATTTATAAGAAGTATTGGTAGGGCCCACCTTCGGTAACAGTGATTACGTAATGAGAATCTATAGAAACCTTTTTTTTATTGATAAAATAAAGGGAAGCTCTATTACTTTTGAAGAAGATTGAGGCAACTGGAACATACTATTTGCCTTTGAATCAGGAGACCCACACAAACAGTGACTATTGGTAATTTTTTTCAATATTGGGAAATGCGAAGCAAAACACCCCTTAACTATCATAATATTAGCAATTATGTCCAACATCATAACGAATATACTAATTATCTCAGTTGTATTTTGTTGTCCTTGCAGCTCTTGGGGTGAAATTTTAGCAAGGTAACAGGGTAGTCATCAAGGGAAGGGGACCAGGGAGTTTCCTTAGCGACTATGAAGTTGACCACTGGCCACTTTCACAGAGGATAGAATAAAAATAGAACCGAAAAGGAAATCCCTAGCTGCTTAATTTCCTGCCTTCTTTCTGTAGTTACCCAGAAACTTGAGATCTTTGTGACAGCCCTGAGATTGGAAGAGTTTGGCAAAACAGTAGGTTACCTTGCACAGGATTAGTTATACTTTGAGATAACAAAAACAGAACGATTCTATTAGTTATACTTAGGGGCAAGAACCTGCTTTCTCTTGTCAATCTGATTTTTCACAAAATATTAAACAGCATGCCGGTCCTTAAGTTGTTTGTATTTTAAAAGCAAGTGTTGCACTAAATGCACCATTTGCTTTTAAAATACTATTCTAAAAGTTTAGTTTTCTTAATAACGTCATTGTTTGACAAAGTTAAATATGTGATGCCAAACCCTTTCAATTGGTTATATCTTAATACTCCAATCAAGAGCTAAATAGAGCACTCTTAGTTTGTGTAATACTGAAATCTACCTCCATAGTTATCAATGACTGAATTTGAGAAAGTTGAAATAATGTAAAAATTCTGGACACAACCCTAAAATCCTATTTTTAAGGAAGCTTATTTTTAAATTTTGTCCAATTATAAAATTTTGAGTTGGAATTACAAGTGGATAACATATTGATTCTAAGACTTTTAAAAGTTTTGATGTCAATACTACAGTTTATATCATTTTACACTTGACAAAGCCAATTTAATGGAGGATTGGTGGCTTACACTTTGGGGGGGTATTTTGGGATTGGCCTATATCCAAAAATTTATGGTAGAATTTAACATATTCTATTTGTCGTTGAATCACAGGGTATCCACGCAAACTATGACGGTAAGTTTTTTTTTTAAATATTGGAGATGTTTGGAAACAGCAAAATACCCCTTAATTATCACGAATAACTGTTTTTTGTTGTCCTTGCAGCTATTGAGGTTGAATTTTAGCAAGGTATTAAGGGTTGTCATTAAGGGTGGGGAAAGATCAGTTCACTTAGCCATTTTTAGCGGCAAGAACCCTCTTTCTCCAATGTCAATATGATTCTTAACAAAATATTTAACAGCATGCCAGTCCCTACCATCTAATGCACCATTTGCTTTTAAAATACAGTTCTTACAGTCCAATTTTCCCGGAAAGCGTCTTTCTCTGACAAATGAACTAGGGTGCTTAAAAACTGCCTCCTTCTCTTCTTCTGTACATAGAACATGGGCATCTTACTCTGTAAAGAAAATCAAAATAAGCATAACAAGTAAGCTTTCAGCTAAAACTTACTCCTCTTACATTTTCTCTACTTACTCTTTGACTTTGACATTCCCCGGTCCACATTTTCCATGTCCATGTGACTGCTGCGTTTTTCGGGGGGGGGGGGGGGGGGGGAGGGTTGATTTCTTTGCAAGTAGTCCCCGTAAGTAACTGTGTATTAGCATGTCGCCACAAGAATGGAAAGTAGTCCCCATAAGTAGTTGTGTGTTAGCATGTCACCATAAGTACGGCAAGTAGTCCACATTAGTAGCTATGTAGAGCTTTTCCCTTTAAAGTGCCTATGACACGAAATTTTGAAATTTTTTATTTTGCATTTTCTGGTTGATAGCTGTATTTAAAATTAGAGATCATTAACCATAGCGCTTAGCGAGTTCTCCTTGACCAATTTTTTTGTCCATTGGAAGTACGATTTGGCGGCCAAAAAGTGTCGCCACTAAGCGAGCGGCCAAAATCATGTTATATAGCTGTGACGTAGAAAACTGTGAAGACACGTAAGCAATTATGGTGGAGAAAGGAGAAATATAATAGAGAGGACGAACATAGTGCGTGGCTGGAGCGCCCAATGATGTTCGCTACAAGAATAATACACATAAACCGGGCAATTATATACACGACTTTCCAAATGACGTAGCTGTATGGCCAAAATGGACGCTTTCGATCGTCGACATCGAGGAGATTCTACTCTTTAATGTCGTCGGCCTTATTCTCCGTACCGGCTTCGAAGACGCCTGTTGCGAACACATACCACAAATCAGGGTAAGATAACCGATGAATTCAGCTGTTCAACATTCTCTCCGGCTGACATTTCGCAAATGAAAAATGGTGAGCTCCTTCTTGATGTTTATTTCACGCGCTTGAGATGTACTCACACTTTTTGTCTTTCCACATGACTACGTTTGCGCTTTTCTTATCGTATGAATATCATACCAATTGTAGTTTCTATCGTATTTTGATAAAAGATTTACATCAATTGTAATGAAGTTCAAGCCCTTTCCTGAGCTGACCGATATCCTGTTG